AAAAAGTCAGCAGCTACAAAAACTGTAGCTGTCTGTAAAATACAGACACTTACTTGTCCCTCGGTCCAGCGGTGTCCTCACCACCGCTGGTTTCAACTTCCACTTTCGATTGCCTAGGTGATCGCAGCGAAAGTGGGAGCGGGTACCTGTCAAATTCGGGTACCCACTCCCCAAAGGTGCCAATCCTTAATGAGGAGCGGGGGACAAAGCATTAAAGCGGAACTTCCCCTTTTGGGTGGAACTCCGCCGTAAAGGTTTTGTAAAGAACTGAACGAAATGTCAAAATTTGACACCTATCCCATGCCCAGGGTTGATGAACTAATAGAGAAGTTGGACCCCGCCAGGTACATAAACACCCTTGACCTCACTAGAGGGTATTGGCAAGTTCCCCTGACAGAGGAAGCAAAATAAAAAACTGCTTTTGCAGCTCCAGAGGGTTTGTGGCAGTATGTCCAGATGCCCTTTGGGTTAAATGGAGCTCCGCTACAATCCAGTGGATGATGGATGAGCTTCTTAACCCACATCAACCCTATTCAGCAGCCTATCTTGATGATGTGTTTATTTGGAGCACAGATTGGGAAAGTCACCTACCCAAAGTGCAAGCAGGCAAAAATTCCATTAGAAATGCTTGCTTAACAGCAAACCCAAGGAAGTGTGCCATAGGCCTGGTATCTGGGGTACACCATTGGGCGAGGCCTAATCAACCCCAGGTCCATAAGGTAGAAGCCATTAGAGACTGGCCTGCTCTTGCCACCAAGAAAAAAGTAAGAACCTTCCAAGGCATGGTTGGGTATTATCAGAGGTTCATTCCAAACTTTGCCACAATCACAGCACCCTTAACTGATCTCACCAAAGGCAAAAGCTCTTCTGTAGTGGTTAACTGGAACCCTGTGGCTAAAGCAGCTTTCCAAAGTCTGAAGCAGACCCTGTGTAAACAGGCTGTGTTGGTGACCCCAGACTTCAGCAAAGAGTTTGTGGTCCAGATCAATGCCTCAAGTATAAGGCTGGGGGCTGTCTTGACCCAAGTGGTAGGCAGTGAAGAACACCCAGTGGTCTATTTGAGTCGGAAACTAACCTCAGCAAAAAGGAGCTATAGTATTGTGGAGCGGGAGTGTTTGGCCATTAAGTGGTCCTTTGGAGTCTCTACGGTACTACTTGCTGGAGCATCACCGTAATGCAAGGGTTGGTTCCTGGCTCTCCAAGACTTTCTTTTAAAGTGGAGCACAGGGCTGGTCATAACCAGAAGTATGCAGAAGCTCTATCCAGAACCCTGTGTTTGATAGCTGTTGTTCGAACCCACGGATTCAAATGGAGGGGGGGCGGGGGTTGGGGGGTATGTGACAAACAGCCCCTGTCAGTTGTGGATGGGGTGTATCTGCTGCATAAGATTTTGGGGTTCATAAGGTAAATAGACGGCAGTGGGAAGCTTGGAGGCAGGGGGGTAAGCCCTGATTACACCTTGCTCCTCACCTGGGGTATAATTTGTCCTTCCCTGGGTTAATTGGTTGGTGCAGAGAAAGGAGACAAGCGGGCTGTGAGAGCAACATGTCTGCAGGACTGAAGCAGACCCAGTGATGTCTAAATACTAGTTTGCTGAACCTTTGTTTTAGACTGTGATCTTTAGTCCTCATGCACACAGGACGTTTTTACAGTTTCTGCTTTTGACGTTTTTTCTTTCTACAGCCAGTAAACTCCCCAGCATGTTATCCTATGTGTCCATGCACACATAGACTGTAATCAGCATTTTTTGGCTGGGAAAAAACCCCCAGAACTAGTGTGTTTTTAGAGGAGATTTTTAGTTGTAAAAACGCTCTAATGCTTACAAACGTGGTAAAACACAGCAAGCCAACATTTTTTTTATTTTTTTTTTATGCAAAAACGCTAAAAAAACACTGAAAAACTAAAATTTTTAACGTGACTTTACACAGCTAACGTCACCAGTTTTTTTTTTTTTTTTTTTTAAAACACCCAGTGTGCATGGAGCCTTCCCCCTGCCTGGACAATCTGTCTTATGTTGGACATTTGCTTTATTTTTTGCTTTGATAAAATGTGGGCAGGAAGCCCTTAACCTTACATGTGGCTTGGTTGACCTTTCTGCAAGCTCCACTTGAAGCTGAACCCCCACACTATTTACTCACTCCTATTTGGAGGATCATATTATTGATTAACTATTCACTTGCATAATCAATAACCTATTTGACCACTAGATGGCACTCTGAGACTAAAAATTCCTAGATTAGGGTTTAGGGAGCAAAATAGATTGATTCCATGTTTAAAGAATAAACCAATTTTATACTATAAAGATTTAACTGTTTATTTTATTTAGAGGGTATACTGTATAGATACAGTAGCTTCCTCTGGGGGTCTGGTGGCATTATTCGTGATTTTTGATATATTCTTATTTAAACATGAACCTTTGCTACAGGGATAACATTTTATATACACAGCAATCCAAATTAAAATATTAATTATACCTCCTAAAATTCTTTGTACATGCTTATACAGTACTATTGCTTCTGAGATAAGATTATGAACGCACCTATTTCTTATTACAAGAATTGCAAAGAAATATAAACATAGCAATAATTGTGAGTTCTTTCAGATAATATGATCCATTTTTGATTGTTTGGGATCGCGGGTGGGTTTTAATGCCGAGCGGCTGCATGTATGCAGCCCTTAGTTTTCTATGCTAAGAGCACGCACCCTGTATGCTCCCAGCACAGTTATGGGCAGAGACTGTAAAACTGCCGATGCATATTTGCAATTGGGAGCTTTCGAATCATGTGACTGCCAATCATAGCAATCACATGATCAGAATGCCCGCCTCCATCCCTCTGTATTTAGAACACCTTAAAGGACCAAGAGCTGGCTGCAGGAAGGGGTTAAAAAAAAAAACAATAGAGGTTTCATGTCATTAAAATAAGTACACAAGAATGTTGACTCTCCTTCACCTGGGTAAACTGAGCGTGTCTTTTTCACAATACAACCCTTGTGAGATCAGAAGAGCCTGTAGACATGGCATAGTTTCAATTGTAGCACCCTCCTAGTTAGCTAGGGGGAGCTAGCAGATTATTTTTTAGTTAGGTCAAGCTTGGGTCAGGCCTGCAATTTGGGTCATTTGATCTGAAACCTTCAGACATACCCCTGCTTCCAGCTGCACAGTGCACTGTGCTAGTTTCACATTCTTATTCACCATTACCCAGCACCTACCCTCTTCCACATTTGTGAGTACCTAATGAGTGACCCTCAGAAGCCAAACACCTGTGAGGGGGTCCCTGGCAGAATACCAGTTACCTCTTAGGCTCCACTTTCTGGGAAGCAGCTGCATTGAGGAGCAGGGTCTACATCTTTGACCATGACATGATCACTTGATGTTAGATTTCTCTCTGACCCAAACAGTTAACATTTTCTGTACCTTATCTAAAATGGCTTTTCTCTGAGCTTCATGTACCCAATCAGTCACAATGTTGTGGAAAGTTACATAAGTACGACCAGGTAATTCCGAAACCGCACTTAGGGCTCATGTACACTGCAGCTGATAAACGCACGTTTAGGAGCTGTTCAGCACTTTTTTTCAGCAGCCCCTGACCTCACCCTAATGTTTTCTTATGTGTCCATGTACACATCTTCATTTACAGGCATTTGAGTTTACAGTCGTTTGTTTGAACACAGAAATTTGCTTTCAGCAGTCGATTTTATCAGCGTTTCAAACGCAAAACGCTTGTAAATGCGGCAAAACGCGTTTGAAAAATGTTTTTAACTCTTCCAGTTCCCGATGCTGTCCGGAGCCTTTTTTCATCATGAAAATTGCATGCAAAGCATTTTCAAGGTACTAAGGTGGACAAAACACTGAACACAGGATGTTCCTACCAAGCTTGTCACACATTGTAATGACCAATTTATACCTCAGACCTCTCCCACCCTTAGAAACAAAAGATATGTTAATGACCATTCACACCTCAAATTCCTCATCAAGACTCCCTGCCAGGTGACCTTAATGACTCATTCCACCAGACACCTTTCCCACCCTTAGAAACAAAAGAAATGTTAATGAGCAACTCACACCTAAGCTAATCTCAACACATACTTCTGTCTCTGCTTCGACTCTCTGTATTTCTCTAAAACAGTCTGAAATAGTTAATAATTTACCGCTATTCAGTGCATTCTGGGCAATTGGAAGGTTCTCCTGTGCTTATCTTTAAAAAACGCTTCTAAACATAAACGCAGTATGCAAACGCAGTTAAACAGATGTTTTTTTAACCTACGTTTTCCAGCAGTCAGTTTCCATCGTTCAGAAGTGTCCCGTGTACATGGGGCCTAAGTAGCAGACAGAGTTGCTAACATTCTAAACTCTGGTAAACCCTGGCATACTTTAGATCAGCGGTTCTCAACCTGGGGGTCGCGACCCCTTTGGGGGGTCGAACGACCATTTCCCAGGGGTCGCCTAAGACCATCGGAAAACACATATTTCCGATGGTCTTAGGAACCGAGACGCCGCTGCTGTCTCCGGCAATGTGTGGGCGGGATGATATGCTGCCCCTGTCACCGCCTCCTCGCCGCTGATTGGCCACCGGAACTGTAGCTCAGGAGAGGCACACAGGCGGCCAATCACCGGCGAGAAGGTGGAGCTTGGAGAGGAGGAGCCGAGCGGCAGCGCGCGGAGATCGAAGAAGATCGAGGGAGCTGCAGGAACGAGTGAAGAGAGAGGCCAGAGAAGGAAGACAGCTGACAGGTAAGTGCAAATTTTGCTGCTGCAGCCAGGTATGCAGGCTGCAGATGGGAGAGGGAGAGAGCGAGCCCAGGCTGGAGCAGGAGTCAGCAAGGTAAGTATCATTGGTGTCAGTGGAAGGGATAGTGCCCCATCATTTGTGTCACTAATACCAACGATGGGGGCACTATTCCTCCCCCCACTGACACCAACGATGGGGCACTATTCCTCCCCCCACTGACACCAACGATGGGGCACTATTCCTCCCCCCACTGACACCAACGATGGGGCACTATTCCTCCCCCCACTGACACCAACGATGGGGCACTATTCCTCCCCCCACTGACACCAACGATGGGGCACTATTCCTCCCCCCACTGACACCCACAATGGGGCACTATTCCTCCCCCCACTGACACCCACAATGGGGCACTATTCCTCCCCCCACTGACACCCACAATGGGGCACTATTCCTCCCCCCACTGACACCAATGATGGGGCACTATTCCTCCCACTGACGCCAATGATGGGGCACTATTCTTCCCACTGACACCAATGATGGGGCATTATTCCTCCCACTGATACCAATGATGGGGCACTATTCCTCCCACTGACACCAATGATGGGGCACTATTCCTCCCACTGACACCAATGATGGGGCACTATTCCTCCCACTGACACCAATGATGGGGCACTATTCCTCCCACTGACACCAATGATGGAGCACTATTCCTCCCACTGCTACCAATGATGGGGCACTATTCCTCCCACTGACACCAATGATGGGGCACTATTCCTCCCACTGACACCAATGATGGGGCACTGTTCCTCCCACTGACACCAATGATGGGGCACTGTTCCTCCCACTGACACCAATGATGGGGCACTATTCCTCCCACTGACACCAATGATGGGGCACTATTCCTCCCACTGACACCAATGATGGGGCACTATTCCTCCCACTGACACCAATGATGGGGCACTATTCCTCCCACTGACACCAATGATGGAGCACTATTCCTCCCACTGACACCAATGAGATGGGGCACTATTCCTCCCACTGATACCAATGATGGGGCACCATTTCTCCCACTGATACCAATGATGGGGCACTATTCCTCTCACTGACGCCAATGATGGGACACTATTCCTCCCACTGACACCAATGATGGGACACTATTCCTCCCACTGACGCCAATGATGGGGCACTATTCCTCCCACTGACGCCAATGATGGGACACTATTCCTCCCACTGACGCCAATGATTGGGCACTATTCCTCCCACTGACGCCAATGATTGGGCACTATTCCTCCCACTGACGCCAATGATTGGGCACTATTCCTCCCACTGACACCAATGATTGGGCACTATTCCTCCCACTGACACCAATGATGGGACACTATTCCTCCCACTGACACCAATGATGGGACACTATTCCTCCCACTGATACCAATGATGGGACACTATTCCTCCCACTGACACCAATGATGGGGCACTATTCCTCCCACTGACACCAATGATGGGACACTATTCCTCCCACTGACACCAATGATGGGACACTATTCCTCCCACTGATACCAACGATGGGACACTATTCATCCCACTGACATCAGTGATGGGGCGCTAGTCCTCCAACTGCAAAATTACAGTTATGAAGTAGCAACGAAAATAATTTTATGGTTGGGGGTCACCACAACATGAGGAACTGTATTAAGGGGTCGCGGCATTAGAAAGGTTGAGAACCACTGCTTTAGATGATACTTTAGATGATACTTTAGAGTTGCTTATTGCTAAAATGACCTTACTATCCATCTAAGGTTTTATTAGATTAACATGGTATGTTTAAAGGGGCTTTTGCCTTTCGGGCTGGTATACCCGGTAGTCGATATTACTGATATTCTAATCACACAGGGGCTCTTATTCATTGCTAGAAACGTAGCCTAAAGACATCAGAGCTAAGGCATCTTCTTCCTAGGTTAAAGGTCCTGCTTTAACCAGACTTTTTTTCAACTTTGGCTTGAGCCTCTTGGGCTTGCAATATACTGTATCTTCCTGAACTATGGGTATGGCTGCTGCCAGCCTATCCTGCATCTGAAAAATGTGTTTGACACTTTTGTGAGTTGTGACCTTTTTCTCCCATGCTATAAGCAGGAGTCTCCAGAGCACCCGGGAGCATCTACCATATGACCGATTAAATGGGAAAACCCTGTGAAAACATGAAAACATTACAGTGACACTGAACTCTGTTAAAAAAATATTCAAGTATGCATTTATAACTCAAAAGAGTACTTTCTATTTCTATCAGCCCCCTCCAGATCACCAAACTAGATATTATATCCTTTATCACCTTTTAGAGAATGTGTTTTCTGAAGACGATTGTTTCTGCACACTGGGTGGCTTAACCAGAGACTAATATGTGCTGGTGCCCCATGTCAGACTTCTTCAGTAGCTCTGTCAGATTCACAGCAACCCTCTCAAAAGTTGACTTCAAGAATGAGATTTGGGTGGATTCATTTGACACACATGGTAAATTTTACTATTGCTTTGTAAATGTTTGGGCAAGAAAAAAAAGCTGCTAAATCTGCTCTTTTGTTTTTTCTACCCCTAAATGACAACCCAACACATGGGTGTAGGCCAGATCCAAAACTATATTTGTTTAAGATTTGCTCCCATTCCATCTTAAGTCATGGTATACTATAAAATGGGGGTGTAACTGGCTAACCTCTGTTTTTTTTTTGTTTTTTGTTTTTTTTTTAAGTATGCTGTTTATCACCCGTATGTTTTTCAATGCACTTGAGCAGTCCTAAAATCTTCCTTGACCCTGGTATTTCTGTTATTTCTGACACCTAAGCAGCTTCCTCTTACTCCATTTCCACAATCACTAGTGGGGACTAGTGTCAGTCCCTCTGCTGTGGCGGAGTCAGCATCCTCCGGCAAAAGAGAAACATTATTTACTTCAGACACATTTCCAAGATTGTTATCTGTTTTCCTGACCAGTGTGCCCAAACAAAAATCTCATGCCAGTATTACACCATGTAGCAAGCTCTTAACCACACCCACAACATGTTTTACAATTCCACTATGTCTCCACTGAGAGCATCACAGTAGGATAATCTTTAGTATTGCCATGTATAAAAAGTACTCCCATTCAAACTGAGCCTTGGCAGGGTCCACTAGGCTGACATAGACCAAGGTGATTAGGCTTCTGAAGTCTTAAAAATACCTCCACCGGATGTCTTTTTAATGTAGTAGGACATATCTGCCTCCCAGTCTTAGTTAATATGTGTGTGCCAGAATAGGCATGGCAAACCGTGACATACAACTACTCAGCTCACATTCCATAGGCTTATGCAATATGGGCAGTTGGCAGTCACATGTCCCAGTTCTTGGCACTGCTCCACCTAACTTGTCATGTCTCTCTTTTAGAGCTGTCAATATCGGGTACCCTTGAGAGTCTCACCCCCTCCTCAGCCATTTATCCGTTGGAAACAAAGAAACAGTCTTACCTAAGCTTGATCTTTTCCTGTTTTCAGGGGTTACCAACTTGGAGGGTAGATCCCAGAAATAGTCCTTGGTAGCAGCCTTGCCATTCCACAAGCAACCTGTACTAATCCACACTACTGGGGTCTGTATGAATACCTAATGCAGCACTATATCTTAGATGGCAAAGCTATGATATTGTCATAGACTTCTCACTCCCATTCTAAGCAGGGTTGAGCACCTCCTGTTGCAACCACTTGCTTGTAAGGTGGAACAAATCATACAGGTACATCTGGGACCTCATGGGTCTAGGGTCATATTCCTATGGGAATGAACATGATAACCCAGAGCCTGGACAGGAAATTATCCTCCAAGGTTAGGATATTCCTTAGCAGCCTGAGGTTGTAAGTCAAAATAGGTCTCTTGGGGCTACCTTGTTAAAAATGGTGCTAGCACATCAGCCAACTGCTCCTTGCATAGCTTCTCACACTCTTCAGTCCTCAATGTAGGTTTTAAAGTCATCCTCCACTGAAAAACAAAAAGACCCCTTAGAGGAGGTATAGTGGTTACTTTTGAAGACAAAAATGGAGACTGGTATACCAAAAGTACATTTGTTTTTATTATTTCTCAAAACTTATATCAAAGTATTTATTACCAAAAAAAGTGAAAATATATTTAGGAATCACCAGCATGAAAAAACAAGCATTGATGGGCTTCTGACATGTAAAAAAAACCTCCTATTACAGACAAACAGGACACAGACATATGACCTTAAATACAAATAAAGAATCCATCTGGATGCCCAAGTCAAAACCATACGGAGGAATATACTGTGGCAAATGCCACTTAAAATGATTAACAATCTAGTCAGCTAATAACCCAATATATGGATTATTTTGAATTAATTGTGGGCACTATATCAATATTAGGTCCAACATTGTGACATGTGGAACTAATGTGGTGGTCAATGACCTTAACAGAGATAAGTGGTTCAGGAGGGATGAATATATTGGTCCCAATCAGATATGCTGGTGATTCATATACTGAAGGATAACTTTCCTAATGTAAAGTCCTTTTGTATAGATTTCCATCAGGAATAGTGGAATTGGTGAAGTGCAGGTGACCTCAAGTCCTCTACCTTTTACATGGCTAAAGCAATTGCTTATGGGCACAGCAAGAGAAAATATGCAGCATGTAGCACTATTTCAAACATAGTAAGCAGTACATGCATAGCGGCAGCAGTAGAGCGGTAAGCTTGTTCCATCCTAAGCTTGGAGGCTTGTTCCTACCCAAAGCTTTACAAAGCCTCTATGCTCTAGAACCCAGACAGGACCTAATAAAATTAAGAGAAAACAAAAAGTTTGTTTTATTCACATCGGCCACAAACCCTAGAGCCCAACACTGCGTGTTGATATGAAACCTATGTGGCATATACACATGATCCCGCAGGATCGTCGGCATGCAACCTATACGGGGTGACACCGGACCCACTCCAAGAAAAGGTAAGTTGTAAAGAAAGCCGACGATCCCCGCAGGATGGATCGGATCCATCCTGCAGGGATCGTCAGGTTGCTTTACAACTTACCTTTTTGTGGAGCGGGTCCGGTGTCACCCCGTGCTGTCGCTGTCACCCGGTGCGGACCGCACCCCCCACACCTGCCTTGGGACGCCACTGGTCCCCTCTATTACTTTTCTGGAGACAACTGAAAAACTGGATTTTCTTTTACTTTCACTTTTAATGATAATGGCAAACAAGACAAATAGAGAGGGTAAATCTCTTTAACGGGTGCACAGACAGCAATAAAAACTGACAAGCATTCTAATAACCTCTCCACTCTATCTAGAACTAAATGAAAAAAGTTTTGCCATTATTTATACTTTAAATCACCGAGGAGTTGTGTAACAAATTAAAACATAAAAACACTTTCCAAAAAACTTTGAATTTTACCTTGATTTATGAGTTATTCCTCTATTTCTCTACATGACACCAATTATACACTCTGTGTCGGTTGTTATTTGTAGAATTGTGGAATTTTTCAAGAGATTGACATTTAAAGTGCTACATAATCAGTGTCCCTGTTCAATGCAATCCCACTCACTCCTGTCAACCTACTGGTAAGGTCTGCTGACAGTTCTTGGAGTGGTATTGCTTTGACTAGGAGCAATGTTTTTTCTGCACTCCGCCCCATACTGTGTCAAAGCACACATTAATGTTTTAAAGTTATTCATCATTGGGAACTGAATACTAACAGGATAAAAATATTTCTATGCACAACCTGAATCTTTATGTGACTTTTAAACGAGTGGCGACTCCAGCAACAATATATAGGGGGAACACATAAGATATCACAGTCAAAACTGGGGGGGGGGGAGCATTAATAATTTTCACCAATAGATAATACCACTGAAAAAAAAACCTTGGTAGTGTCAAAAAAATATCCCCCACACCATTACATCACCACCAGTCTGAACCGTTGCTACAAGGCAGGGTGAATCCATACTTTCATGTTGTTTATGCCAAATTCTGACCCTACCATCTGAATGTTGAAGCAACCAGTCTGCCCATTTTCCTCTGACCTCAACAAGACATTTTCGTCCACACAACTGCCACTCACTGGATATTTTCTCTTTTTCGGACCATTCTCTGTAATGGTTGTGTGTGAAAATCCCAGTATATGAGCAGTTTATGAAATACTTAGATCAGCCCGTCTAGCACCAACAACCATGCCATGTTCAGCGTCACTTAAAACCCCTTTCTTCCCCATTCTGATGCTAAGTTTGAACTTCAGCAAGTTGTCTTCACCACGTCTAGATGCCTAAATGGATTGAATTGCTGCCATGTGATTGGCTAATTAGCAATTTGTGCTACCAAGCAATTGAACAGGTGTACCTAATAAAGTGGTCAATGAGTGTATATATAAAAAAGACTACAAAATATGAGAATAATATGGTATGCAGTGATACCTTTTTATTGTACTAACCTAACACTTAAAAGACAAGCTTTCAAGAGTTTTTATTTCTTCCTCAGGTATTGCTTCAGACCTGAGAAAGAGGAGACTACAGGAGATGGCTAGAGACTGCAGACATACTACAGGAGATGGTCACAGACTGCAGACATGATACAGGAGATGGTCAGAGACTGCAGGCATACTACAGGAGATGGTCAGAGACTGCAGGCATACTACAGGAGATGGTCATAGACTGCAGCCATGCTACAGGAGAGGGTCAGAGATTGCAGACATGCTACAGGAGAGGGTCAGAGACTGCAGACATGCTACAGGAGAGGGTCAGAGACTGCAGACATGCTACAGGAGAGGGTCAAAGACTGCAGACATGCTACAGGAGAGGGTCAGAGACTGCAGACATGCTACAGGAGAGGGTCAGAGACTGCAGACATGCTACAAAAGAGGGTCAGAGACTGCAGACATGATACGGGAGAGGGTCAGAGACTGCAGGCATACTACAGGAGAGGGTCAGAGACTGCAGGCATACTACAGGAGAAGGTCAAAGACTGCAAATTACAGGTGATGGTTTGAGACAACAACCATACTATAGGACATGGTCTGAGACTGCAGGCATACTATAGGAGATGGCCAATGACTGCAGGCATACTACATGAGATGGTCAATGACTGCAGGCATACTACAGGAGATGATCAATGACTGCAGGCATACTACAGGAGATGGTCAATGACTGCAGGCATACTACAGGAGATGGTCAATGACTGCAGGCATACTACAGGAGATGGTCAATGACTGCAGGCATACTACAGGAGATGGTCAATGACTGCAGGCATACTACAGGAGATGGTCAATGACTGCAGGCATACTACAGGAGATGGTCAATGACTGCAGGCATACTACAGGAGATGGTCAATGACTGCAGGCATACTACAGGAGATGGTCAATGACTGCAGGCATACTACAGGAGATGATCAATGACTGCAGGCATACTACAGGAGATGGTCAATGACTGCAGGCATACTACAGGAGATGATCAATGACTGCAGGCATACTACAGGAGATGATCAATGACTGCAGGCATACTACAAGAGATGGTCAATGACTGCAGGCATACTACCGGAGATGGCCAGAAACTGCAGCCATGATACAGGAGATGGCCAGAAACTGCAGCCATGATACAGGAGATGGTCCGAGACTGCAGCCATGATACAGGAGATGGTCCGAGACTGCAGCCATGATACAGGAGATGGTCAGAGACTGCAGCCATGATACAGGAGATGGTCAGAGACTGCAGCCATGATACAGGAGGTGGTCAGAGACTGCAGACATGATACAGGAGATGGTCAGAGACTGCAGACATGATACAGGAGATGGTCATGTTCCGTAAGTAATTGCTGGCTGAGCAGACAGCCATAGATAGCAGCTCACAAGTGCCGTTTCTAGTTGCCTGTGGGAATGTAGCCTTATTCAATGACCTCTGCTCTTAGCTCCAACACTGCATCAGCCACTAAGCAGTGGAATGCAGAGGTAGCAGGTGAAGTGAGCAGCACTACTATTAGTGGCTACTGTCTGCCTGCAGTCTCAGGCAGCTCCCCTGCACACTCTACCCTTTCCTGCTATTCCTTGATACCTTTACATCTTACCTCACCTTGCTGCAAAGGAAACCTTCCTGACATGAACCATTGCCAGTAGCCTACCTTCTCAAACAAGTTTTCAAACATCAACTCAGCTCACATCCCTTTCTCTGAGGCAATGTCATCCTTCCATGCCCGGCATGATTTCTGAGGCCGGCCACACCCCCATTCCGACCACTCAAACTGCAGGAGAAAGCAAGGAGGAGGCAGGCTTCCCCTTGAGGAAGCAGTCCTCATGAGTACCTGAAGCTGCTGGGGGAGGAGGTAGGAGGAGATTCGGCTGGAATGTGCAGCATTTTCGGTCTCTTCATATGGGTATGTCGCAGGCCGCAGCATGTACTGCAATGACACTGTCAAAGATAATCATCATGTGATGTGCGCAGAGTTCAGTTGTGACAGCCACTGGCAATTATGGATATAATCACAAGAGTCCCCCCTTACATCAGAGTCTACAGAGGTTCCCCTTTACAACTGAACTCGCAGAGTTCCCCTTTACAACTGAACTGGCAGAGTACCCCTTTACAACTGAACTGGCAGAGTTCCCCTTTACATCTGAATTCAGAGAGTTCCCCTTTACATCTGAATTCAGAGAGTTCCCCTTTACATCTGAATTTGCAGCATTCCCATTTACATCTGAATTTGCAGCGTTCCCCTTACATCTGATTCCGCAGAGTTCCCCTTTACATCTGAATTCACAAAGTTCCCCTTTACATCTGAATTCACAAAGTTCCCCTTTACATTTGAACTTGCAGAGTTCCCCTTAATCTGAACATGCAGAATTCCCCTTTGCATCTGAACTTAAATAGTTCCCTTACAAACTCTGATGTAAGGGAGGACTCTGCAGACTCCAATGCAAGGGAGGATTCTGAGGTCTGTAAAGTAAGGGAGAACTCCAGGGACTCTGATGTAGGGGAGAACTTTGGGGACTCTAAAATAAGGGAGAAGGGGGATTTAAGAAGAAACACTGAAAACTCTCATGTAAGGCGGGGACTCTGATGTAAGGGGGAAAACTACTAGTGCCAAAGGTACCTCTGATATAAGGGGTCTCTAAAAACCAGAGCTCCCACTTACATCATAGTTCCCCAGCATTCCCCTATAATCGGGGTTCCCAAAGCACCCCTTGCATCAGAGTTCCTCTTTACACCAGAGTCCACAACGCTCCTCTTACATCAGAGTCCCCCCTTAAATCAGGGTTCCCAGAGCCTCCCTTACATCAGAATTTCAATGTAAAAGGGGAACTCTGATGTAAGGGGTGCTCTGGGAAACCTGATTTAAAGGGGGGGTTCTGATGTATGGGGAACACCGTGGACTCTGGTGTAAAGTGGAACACTGATGTAAGGGAGTCTCTGCTCACCAAAGCCCCCACTTACAGCAGAGTCCACTGAGTACCCCTTGGTTCTGAGTCCCCCTAAAATTAGTGTACACAGAAGCAAGAGAGAGAAGGGAGGGGGGACACTTCAGGGATCTCTACTCTGCATAGACCCTCCACCATGTACAGTAGTTACCGGCTGGGCACATAGGTGTGGATAGGGGGTGGGAAAAGGAGGAGAAAGTCCAGCTTTCTCTATCTCATCTCCCATCTGTGCAAGGAGGGGGGGGGACAGGCTGTCGGTGCTGGGTCTGGGCAGTGTGAGAGAGAGTGTAATAGACTCTCACTGTTTACAACTGCAACCAACAACCCTGCCATGGAGCCACAGACTGGGCTCTGGAGGGCCCCCCACAATAGCAGAACTCCAGGGCTTGGAACGCATGTGTGACCTTTGCAACCCTACAGTGGCGGAACTCCATTGCCCAGTTGCAAGGGAAACCCTTTTGCGCCTGGTAGTTCCACCACAGCCCAGCAGCATAATTTAGCAGGGGGGGGGGGAGAGGGCAAAGAATAACCTAAGGGGGGCCCCCCTGTAGTGACACCGCTGCTAAAGGCCTTAGGATTATAAAGAATTATTGTTAATGACAATGGTGCTGCACACTGACCTGAAGATGACCATTGGCAACACAGTGATTTTGTTTTTTGATTAGGGACACTTCAGGTTGTAATGTTCATCTGCAGTGCAGTTCCAACTCTCCTGGATTTGGCAGGACCACCCAGATTCCTGTGAATCCGAACTGGATTTCAGAGCCCAGTGCCGAAACAAGTTCTGGCCCTTGACTCCACTAGTATGGGCACCTAGAGAACCTGTCCTGTTTCTCTTGAGGGGTACCTGGGGTTCCAGATGCCACAATCATCCCCTTTATGGCAGCTCATTTGTCATGTAGTTGCCCACTCCTTTATTTTTTTTTTAAGGTCTTCCTGTAATGTTTCTCTACACTGCTATACAGTTATTATACTGCTTAGCTTTGTATCATTAGCAAACACTGAGATTGAACTATTTATACCAACGTTTTTTAAAATTTCTGAATAAATTAAATAGAATTGGTTCCATGACAGAGCCCTGGGCTACCCAATTTAAAATTCCAGACCATTCAGAATATATGCTATTTATTTCCACCCATTTGATGTTCTCCTGTGACCAGTTTTCAATCCAGATACATATACTAACGTCTATGCCAACAGACCTGAATTTGTAAATTAAGTGTTTATGGGGAACTGTATGAAATGCTTTGGTGAAATCCAAAACACACCATATCCACAGGCGGCATAACAGCTTACTTTCTCAAAGAATGTTAACATATTGGTCTGGCAAGAATGATCTGTCATAAATCCATGCTGGTTAGTACTAGTGCTAGTGTTTTCATAAGCAAATTCTTGGATATGGTCCCATATCATCCCCTCCAATAGTTTACATGCTATTGATGTTAGGCTAACTGGCTTGTAGTTCCCAGATATATTTCTTGGACATTTTTTTAAATATTAATACCACATTGGCTTTTCACCAATCCGCTAATACAATTCCAGTCACTATGTCACGTACCTGGTCAGAGGCCAGAGTACCGAGTGGGCTCCCCTTGTTGCTGAGTGCGGAATACCCCTGGAGGTCGGGACAGGAGATGCTCGGCCCAAAGAAGCACTGGTTGCCAGCTGTAGGAGCTGGGTCAGGAGCCGGGTCATACACAGAAGGTCAATCAGGAGTGGGATAAGGCGTGCAATGTGAACAGGAATGCACAACCTAATGCTGGGTATTGGCGACAGTGCCAGTCTTTAATCGATTTGTACCCTGACACCTGTCCTTAAAAATTAGGAATACAGGTTTGGCCATCTTCCCGCTGACACCATTGATGGCACTATTCTTCCCATTGATACCAACAATAAATCCTTCTTTCTCCCTATAAAACCCATAATGTAGCATTGTTTATGCCCACTGATGGCAGGGCATTTTCTACTCCCATTGGACACAGTCTGTTCCTCCCAAAGCCTCAAGAACAGTAAATTGGCCCTTTGTTTAGAAATTTTGGAGACCCCTGTTCTAAAATATCAATTATATCGTGGCTCTGTTTTTTTTTTTTTGTTTAGCCACTTCCTGCCAGGCCTATTATACCAAAAATGACTTGGCAGAAGCACTGTTATCCCAGAAGGATGTTTTATTACCCCTTGGAGACACGCAGCTGCATGATCTGTTCTCCAGATACCACAGAACACAGATTGTTGTACCAGGCAGCTGTGCATGGCCCTGGTACCACATGTGATTGATGTGAATGGTCACAGCGATTGCATGGTACCAGGCCTGTGCACAGCAAACCTGTACCATGTAATAACTGTGGCCAATCACAGTATCATATGTTATGTAATAAAGTCTACACACCCC